AGAACATCCGACGTTCCTGTGCTGGAAGTTGGCTGGGAGCCTGCAATCCTTCCACGATTTTGCGCTGCTCCGTGTTCAGAACTTTCACCTCGAGCGTGCAACGTAAAAACATATATAATAACACGCATGTATGTATATATCTATATATCATTTGTACCTATCGCATGCACGCAGATCCATGCGACCCAGTCACACGCTGCAGGTTTCCTTTGGCGTCACGTATGGCCAGGCCAGACGCCTCAATTTGCTGACCGTTCTCCTTGCACTGCAGCGGTTGCTGGATCATGTCTGCCATGTGTATTGCATGCACACGGGCTGTCCCCAGTGAGGGTGACGGACGTAATGCTTCTTTGAAGTTGCCTCGCGCAAAACAGGAGGGACCCTCCCCCACGCCCCCTTTCAGGCTTCGTAGCTGGTCGCGGGTTGCATTTATAAAGAGGGTTATATAGGGTATAGGGGCTTTTGGACCACGAGGTTGGGGGGCCGAGCACATAACTGAGGTCACGGCGGGCTTGCGGTGCTCGGTGACGGTTGCGTACTTCCTGTGCTGCAGGTGGACAGGGAGCGGCGTACTTTCTCGGGCGGCGTCTGCAGCTCGGGCTCCTCGTGTGTGGATACATACCATATAGGGTTTCATGGGCTTATAAATAGGGGCGCCTAGGGTTTATAATGGTTTAGGGTTTAGGGTTTATAGGGTTGATGGTTTAGGGTTTATTATATGCATGCATGCATATATAAATATATTTTATAATATACTCCGCAATACGTGTATTTTCCATATACGGTCTCACACATGCCATGTCTCTTTCTGTACTATATATATATATATATATATATATATATATATACATATAAGTCTTCCCAGCATGCATGCACGTATACAATATATACATATATGTATACTTATATAACATATACATATATATATATGTATAAATATATATATATACTCTGCGCATTGTGTCTCCTTCCCTCTCACTCACTCACTCACTGACTCACTCACTCTCTCTCTCTCTCTCTCTCTCTCTCTCTCTCTCTCTCTCTCTCTCTCTCTCTCTCTCTCTCTCTCTCTCTCTCTCCTCTCTCTCTCTCTCTCCCTCTCCCCTCCCTCCCTTCCCTTCTCCTTTCGCGGCTGCTTCGCTTTGGCTTTGGTCTTGCTTGGCTTCTCTGCTTCCTCCTCCTCCTCGTCTGCCTCTGCAGCCCACTTTTCCTCCTCCTCCTCGTCCTCCTCTTTCTCCTTGTCCTTTGCCGCATGCTTTGGCTTCCCACCCCCTTTGCCCTTACCCTTTGCTTTGCTTGGCTTCTCTTCTTCCTCCTCCTCGTCCTCCTCGTCCTCCTTGTCCTTTGACGCACGCCTTGGCTTCCCACCCCGTTTTCCCTGAACTTTGGGCTTTGCTTTGCTTGGCTTTTCCTCTTCCTCCTCTTCCTCCTCTTCCTCTTCTTCCTCCCCCTCGTCCTCCTCGTCCTCCTTGTCCTTTGCCGCACGCCTTGGCTTCCCACCCCCTTTTCCCTGAACCTTGCGCTTTGCTTTGCTTGGCTTCTCTTCTTCCTCCTCCTCGTCCTCCTCGTCCTCCTTGTCCTTTGCCGCACGCCTTGGCTTCCCACCCCCTTTTCCCTGAACCTTGGGCTTTGCTTTGCTTGGCTTCTCTTCTTCCTCCTCCTCGTCCTCCTCGTCCTCCTTGTCCTTTGCCGCACGCCTTGGCTTCCCACCCCCTTTCCCGTGAACCTTGGGCTTTGCTTTGCTTGGCTTTTCCTCTTCCTCCTCCTCGTCCTCCTCGTCCTCCTTGTCCTTTGCCGCACGCCTTGGCTTCCCACCCCCTTTCCCCTGAACCTTGGGCTTTGCTTTGCTTGGCTTTTCCTCTTCCTCCTCTTCCTCCTCTTCCTCCTCTTCCTCCTCGTCGTCCGCCTCCTCCACCTCGTCCTCCTCTTTCTCTTTGTCCTTTGCCGCATGCTTTGGCTTCCCACCCCCTTTGCCCTTACCCTTTGCTTTGCTTGGCTTCTCTTCTTCCTCCTCCTCGTCCTCCTCGTCCTCCTTGTCCTTTGACGCACGCCTTGGCTTCCCACCCCCTTTCCCCTGAACCTTGGGCTTTGCTTTGCTTGGCTTTTCCTCTTCCTCCTCTTCCTCCTCTTCCTCCTCGTCGTCCGCCTCCTCCACCTCGTCCTCCTCTTTCTCTGCCGGCCGCTTTGGCTTCCCACCCCTTGGCCCTTGGCCTTGGGCTTTGCTTTGCTTGGCTTCTCTTCCTCCTGCTCGTCGTCCTCCTCCTCCACCTCGTCCTCCTCTTCCTCTGCCGGCCGCTTTGGCTTCCTGCTCTTTGCTTTGCTTGCAGGTGTCGCTTCTTCTTTCTCCTCTGCTGCCGGCTTTGGCTTGCCACCCCCTCTGCCTTTGCCCTTTGCTTTGCTTGCAGGTGTCGCTTCTTCTTCTTCCTCCTGTCCTTGCTCTGCTGCCCGCTTTGGCTTGCCACCCCCTTGGCCTTTGGACTTCGGCTTTGCTTTGCTTGGCCTCTCTTCCTCGTTGTCCTCCGTCTCGTCCTCCTCGGCTGGCCGCTTTGGCTTCCCACCCCCTTTGCCTTTGCCCTTTGCTTTGCCCTTTGCTTTGCCTGGTGTCGCTTCTTCTTGCTCCTGGTCCTGCTCTGCTGCCCGGTTTGGCTTGCCACCCCCCTTGCCTTTAGACTTCGCCTTTGCTTTGTTTGGCCTCTCTTCCTCGTCGTCCTCCTTGTCCTCCTCTGCTGGCCGCTTCAGCTTCCCACCCCCTTTGCCTGTATTGCCCTTTGCTTTAACCGGCGTTGCTTCTTCTTCCTCCTGGTCCTGCTCAACTGCTCGCTTTGGCTTGGCATTGGTCTTTGCTGCTTTGCGCGGTGCATCGTCCTCCTCCTTTTCCTCGCCCGACTGCTTTCCCTTGTCTTTGCGCTTGTGGGCTTTGTTTTCCTCCTCTTCATCTTTCTGCGCTGCCTTCCCTTTGCCTGCGGGCTTTGCCTGTTCGACAGGGTATATCCGCATCGCCCTCACAGGCTGCTCGACTGTCTTGTGCTTGGTTTCGCTGGCCTTGGCCGCTTTGTTTGGTGTTTCTTCGTCTGTTTCTGCAGGCTGTTTTCCCTTCTTGCGCTTTGCCACTCTGCCCGGCAGCTGTTTTTCCTGCTCTGCTTCATTTGCTTCGTCCTCCTCCTCTGCTTCCTCTTCTTCATCCTCTTCCTCTTCTTCGTCTTCCTCCTCAGCTTCGTGTTCGTCCTCCTCTGGGCCTTCCTCTGCCACCTGCAGCGCACGACACGCACACACACAGACACGCGCACACACACACACACACACACACACACACACACACACACACACACACACGCACACGCGCGCACACACACACACACACACACACACACACACACACACACACACACACACACACACACACACACACACAACACACACACACACACACACACACACACACACACCACACACACACACGCACACACACACACACACACACACACACACACACACACACCACACACACCACACACACACACACACACACACACACACACACACACACCCACACACTGACGCACACGCACGCACACACACATGAAGACCACCACGCACACGCACACACACATACGCACACGCACACACACACACAGACAACGACACACACACAAACACACACACACACACAGAGATGCACGCACAGAGACACTATATGCAGGTCGACTGCGTGCGACCTTTGCCGCGGGCCGCTTGCAGGCACGCTGTCCCGGGTCCTGGATCGACATGCCCTTAACCCCTTAACCCTAATAAGCAGTAAACCCTGTATACACCCTAAACTATATATAAGCCCTAAGCCCTATAAGCCCTAAACCCGGAACCCTAAACCCTAAACCCTAGAAACCCTCAACCCTAAGCATGCATGCATGCCCTAAACCCCTAAACCCTATATAAGCCCTAAACCCTACACCCTACACCCTAAACCCTAAACGAATCCTATAGCCTTATAAGCCCTATAAGCCCTATAAGCCCTAAACCCTAAACCCTATAGCCGTATAGCCCGAAGCCCTAAACCCGAAACCCTAAACCCTATAATCCTGCTGCTCTTTGCTGGGGCTGACAGGCTTTAAGGGAGGGTTCTGCTGCTCTTTGCTGGGGCTGACAGGCTTTAAGGGAGAGGGTTCTGCTGCTCTTTGCTGGGGCTGACAGGCTTTAAGGGAGAGGGTTCTGCTGCTCTTTGCTGGGGCTGACAGGCTTTAAGGGAGAGGGTTCTGCTGCTCTTTGCTGGGGCTGACAGGCTTTAAGGGAAAGTATTCTGCTGCTCTTTGCTGGGGCTGACAGGCTTTAAGGGAGAGGGTTCTGCTGCTCTTTGCTGGGGCTGACAGGCTTTAAGGGAGAGGGTTCTGCTGCTCTTTGCTGGGGCTGACAGGCTTTAAGGGGGAGGGTTCTGCTGCTCTTTGCTGGGGCTGACAGGCTTTAAGGGAGAGGGTTCTGCTGCTCTTTGCTGGGGCTGACAGGCTTTAAGGGAGAGGGTTCTGCTGCTCTTTGCTGGGGCTGACAGGCTTTAAGGGAAAGTATTCTGCTTGTTAGACCACAACAAACAGGGTCTATTGTATGTATTTTCAGTGTCATGGTGAATGGCTGTGCAGCAAGCAAAGCTGCATGGCGGTGTGCATGGCCACTGCAGCAAAGATGACACACACAACTCGCAGCCCTTTGCGAAGCAAGAAAAGGAGCGAATTTACATGGTAGCGGAGCCACAGTGCTCCTAGGGCCCTTGGGTAGGCCCTCGCTCCGTGTGGCCGTGGCCACTGCGTAGGCGAACTTTGCTGCGTTGCCTGGGCTGCTTGCGGTGGCTGCTGACGCTGGCTGCTTAGCGGCGGTGGTGGCGAGGCCCGAGATTTTCCACTACAACCAGGACCTGGACTCTTGAAGAGCGTGTTCGTTGGGACGGTTAGTGCTGCAAGCGCCAGGCCAGGGCAGTTGCCCCGCCCGCGCCGAGTAGCTGAAACTGTGGAGCCATGGCGCAGGCTCGAGCTGTGTCTGATGCGGCGCAGGCCGCGGCTCAGGCCACACAGGCTGCTGAAGCTGTGATGGCAAGCGCCAGTGAGGCGCGAAGGATCGACGCCTTGTCCCGCTTCATTCAGAAGCCAGACATGTATCGTCCGGACACGCGGGAGCAAGAGATCGACCAATGGACGGATTGGCGACACATCATGCGGAACTATCTGGGCGTGATCGATGTCAACTACCTGACCGAGATCGACGCCGTGGAGGCCGCGACAAACGTGGAAGCTACCTTGGACGCCGCTCAGTACCCTGAGACGGCGCGGAGGTCTCGGGAGCTCTATGCCATCTTGGGCTCGTTCATTCGAGGACGGCCGCTGAAGCTGCTACGCAACGTCCCCTCTTCGAACGGCTACGAGGCCTGGCGGCAGCTCATGCTGGAAATGCAGCCTCAAACCCGGCAGCGGCAGCTGGCCCTCATGACCCAGCTCAATTCGATGACGTTCGACATGAAGAAGTCCCTCAACGAGCAGCTGGGAAAGTATGACGAGGTGGTCCGCGAGTACGAAAGGATAAGTGGCAGCATTTACCCTGAGGATCTCAAGGTGAGCACCCTGGTGAACGCAGCCCCTCCGGCCCTTCAAGTCCAACTCCACATGTCTTTGACTGCGACGACCACCTACAATGAGCTGAAGGAGAAGGTCCTCGCTTACGAGCGCTCGACCACCAAGTGGCAGGCCGCTTCTGGACTTCAGTTCCCAGCTGCGGTGGCCAACGACACCTCGACGCCCATGGAGGTCGATGCGGTGATTTGGGGTGGCAAAGACAAGGGTCGAGGACGCGGCGGCAAGGACAAGGACAAGACCAAGGGCAAAGGCAAGGACGCCTCAAAGGGCAAGGCAAAGGGAAAAGACAAGCCGAAGGGTGGCAAGCCTTCTTCCAAGACGGGAGGACGCACCAAAGCAGCTTGCCACACCTGCGGGAAAACTGGGCATTTTGCCCGCGATTGCTGGCACAACAAGGGCGGCGGCAAGGGGGTCAACCAAGTCCAGGAGGAGCATGCTTCCCCGACTTCAACAACGAGCGCTTCTTCGCAACAACCAGTTACAGCCGCAGCTGCTAAGGCAGCTGTGCGGCGCGTTCGGATGACAACGCCCCCAATGGCCGCCAGGACCGAGATCTTCGATATTTCCGAGGACACGATCATGGACTTTGCCCTCGAGCCCTACCATATCTTCATGATCTCGGCCGCGCCTGCCGCCACAGAGGAGCCCGAGCTCATCATCTTGGACTTGGCGCTGACGCAAGCATGGTGCCTTATGCCTTCGCAGACCGTGGCACGCCAGTGGGAGGAACCCCGCCGGCCCTTCAGGATGCCCAAGGAAACCGCATTGATACCGGCACGCACAAGAAGTTCGATTTTTGGTTCAAAGGCCTGGATGGCCGCTCTTTTGCTGTGAGAGAGCAGTGCGTGGTCGGGAATGTGCAGGTGCCCCTCCTGGCCATCGGCAAGCTTCTTCGTCGAGGGTGGCAGCTTATCAACGACGGCGAGGTAAAGCTCCAGGAGCCCTTCGGCCGAACCACGCCGGTGGGATTTCGGCACAACAGCTTGGCGTTGCGTGGGCACATTCGAGCGGTCCTTCTGGAAGAAGGGTCAGTGAATGCTTTGACAGAAGCCCCTCGCAGCCTTCCGCCGAGCCCGCCAATCATCGAGCTCCCCCTGGAGCTCAAGAGCATCCTAGGACAGGAGGGCATGCATGGGCTGGCTGGGGGCGTGAAGGCTCACTTCAAGGATTCCGCCAACAGGCTCATGGATGGCCGTGACTGGTGTGAAGGGCAATTGGGTTCAAGTCGAGAATTCGGCGGATTACTCCTATGAGGCGAACCCGTTCAGCGTGATCAGCAACACGGGTGTGCCAAGGCTGACGTTGTTTTCGATGGACAGTTTTGGCGAGGGCTACTTCGATGGGAAAGGCATGGCGCCCAAGCCCAGCACGAGGTTCGTCGTGGACCCCGAGGAGGAGAAGTTAAGCTTCTTGGCTGAGGCCGCGGAGCCCCTGCTCTCATGCCGAGTGGTGGCTCGCAGGCCAACGTTGAGATTGAGATGGACGATGAGACCGAGAATGCTTACTTGGAAGAGTTGGCGTCGGGCCACGCTGTGGAGGAGAGCCAAAAGGCTCTCGCGCGAAGGCCTGTTCCAGTGGCTGAACCACCCGCAGTGCCAAGCGAGGCCGAGGTGAAGCAGCACCGGCTGACACATATTCCATTCGCAGCGTGGTGCTCCGCCTGCGTGAAGACACGGTCCCGTGGAGACAAGCATGGCACTCGCAAGGAGGTGGATCGCACCCCCGTGGTACAAGTTGACTTCTTCTTCACCAGCGTGGACCCTGACGGACGCCCCAAGGACACCGAAGCCGAGGAGCATACTTGCAGCATGGTAGGCATCGACGTTGACACCCGCATGATCTTGGCAGTGCCTGGTCCGAACAAGGGTGGAGGAGCCCTCAAGCGCTATGTGGAGGAGCTGGTTCGCTTCACTATCTCCTTGCACAACGAGGCCGCAATCATCATTCAATCGGACGGGGAGCCAGCAATAAAGGCTGTGGTCCGCGCCACCACGGATGCAAGGGCCCGGCTTGGGAAGCGCACTACACAGCGCACCACACCGGTGGGAGACCACCAGGCGAATGGCGCGGCGGAGCGCGCAGTGCAGACCGTGCGGCGCTTGGGTAACACCTTGGTGGAGGCCGTGGAGGAGATCCATGGGAAGCTGCCTGTTGGGGCAGACCTGCGAGTGTGGGCGCAGGCCCACGCCGCCTTCCTTTACAATCGGTTCCATGTGTGCCCACACATGCAGCTCACCCCGTTTGAGGCCGCCTTTGGTGGCAAGCCCTTCGACGGCAAGTTGTGCATTTTTGGAGAGACCGTGTATGGCAAGGCGATCACTCCGTACAAGGGTGGAGCGCAATGGATTTTGGGCATTTGGGTGGGTGCAAACACATCGAATGGCAGCCACCACATCCTCACAGAGAAGGGCGCTGTCGAGGCAGCAGCGGTGCGCCGGTCCTCTGAACAACATCCGCCGACAAAGTTTGGAGGCCTTCCTTGGATGTCCTTGAGCGCTGTGGTGAGGCCCCGGAAAGTCAAGAAGCTTGGGCCAGAGCCAATCGCATTTCCTGTTGTGGACTCAGCGCCGGCTGAACCGACGGCGCCAATGCCCAGAGAGGCGCTGGCGCCACCAAGGGACGAGGAGGCCGAGGCAGTGGAGCAGGCAGCCAAGCAGCTCGAGGCCACGTCGCAGCGATCCGATTCGAGTGATGAACTTATTGCGGGAGAGATGGCACCTTCACCAGCCTCCAGGCGGATGAGACCTGGACCTTCGAGCCCTGCGGCTGCGGCAGCATCCGCCGAGCTTGGGGCAAGCCACAAGCGCAAGGCCGAGGACGAGCCAAACAACGCTCCAGCACAAGAAAGCGAGTCCAGCCACGCCACCGGCACCAAGCGCACGCAGGAGGAGGCAGACCTGGACGCCGAGCCCATGACGATCAGGATAGTGGAAACAGTGGACGCCGAGTGGTTCGCGGCTGATGGCGAGGATGAGGATGAAGTGCAGGAGGACCGCTCCAACCACGAGGAGCCTTACGCTACAACGAGCAAGCGCCTCGAGACCGGGAACGCCGACACTCCGCCAGACATCGATGCGCAGACGCTCCAGGACATGGACGAATTGGCCGAGATCGAGGAGATTGAGCGCCTAGTCAAGATGGGCGTTCTTTTGGAGCCAGTCAACGGCGAGGATGCGGACTTGCTGACGACCACATTCGCCACAGCTTGGAAGAGCGATAAAAGCACCTGGTGGCGAAGGGCGAGGCTTGTGGCCCGGCAATACCGCTGGGCCAACGACATGGACCCCGAGGACACATTTAGCCCGGCATCGATGGGATCACTGCTCAGGCACGTGCCCGTTTTGTCGCAAGCTTGGGGGACGCCGCTGTGGATATGCGACGTGAAGGACGCGTACCTGAATGTCCCCCAACCGGAAGACGAACCCGTGGTCGTTGACGCGCCCCTGTCCTACGTGAAGAGGTATGGGCCGAAGCGCTGGAAGCTTGGGCGGATTTTGCCTGGGCAGCGTCGTGGGGCGCAGGAATGGTTTCTCCATTTGAATGTGGATTTGGAGGCGCAGAAAATGGAGTCGATGGTTGAAGTGCCGACGCTTTACAGAGCAATGGCCCCTGAGGAGCGCAAGGCCATCCAAGTGCATGTGGATGACGCGATGCTGACCGGCGACGCCCACCTGGTGGACCCCCTCCTGGAGGAGCTTGGCAAGAGGTACACCATCAAGGTCAGCGGGCCTTTCGGCCCTGGCGACGAATTCGAGTTCCTCAAGCGGCGTTTCCGCATCGAGGCCGATGGCAGCATCACAGTGCGGGCAGCCGCCCACTTCTACATCGACATCCACAACCTCCTTGGACAGCCTCGACTTCGACAGACTCCTGGACCCGCTGGGGAGCTCTTCGTGGCTGACGAGTCGGCCCCTTTGTCAGCAAACCAGGCCACCCTCTACAGGAGGGTGGTGGGAAAGCTTTTATACATCGCTGGCGAGCGTCCGGACATCCAAGTGGTAATTCAGTATCTGGCGTCAAAGGCCTCAGCCCCAACTGAGGGGGCAATGCGGGTGCTCAAGCACTTGGCTGGCTTCATGAAGCAGACCGAGGGTCATGGAGTCAACTTGAAGATGGCCAAAGGGGCCACGATCATGGAGTTCGAACCTCATGAGCCGCGCTCAAGCCATTTGGTGGAGGCCGTTTCCGACTCCAACTTTGCTAATGACCGGACGACCCGCAAGAGCCTCTCGAGTGGCCACATCTACATCAACAAGTGCCTGGTGTTCTCCTTCGTGCGCAGCCAGAAGGTGGTCACGCTCAGCTCTGGAGAGGCTGAGTTGGTTGCCTTGACACAGACAGTTGGCGAGAGCATCCTTATGCACAAGGCGTGGGAGTTCCTGGTCCGTGAGCAGACCTTGCACCTGGCTCGAAGCGACTCTTCAGTCGCGCGGGCCATCGCAAGCCGGCTGGGCGTGGGGCGCGTTAAGCACTTGCAAACATCGTGCCTATGGGTCCAACAGTGGGTCCACCAAAAGACCTTGAAGGTGACATCGATAAGCACGAGCCGAAACCCCACTGACATGGGCACCAAAATCCTCAGTGCAGGGCGACTTCGGATGCTTTGTGGCATCACCGGAATGGTGAACGATTCGGGCGAGAGGGTTGGCATCGATGAGCTGCAGGTCGAGCTTGGAAAGCCGAAAGGATGGACGCCGAAGATGGCCAGGATGATCCAGCTTCTCATGGCTGGGGCGCTTTCGGGAACACTGCAAGGATGCAGCCTGGATGATGAGGACTACGCGACAAAGGTTGGTGGCTACGTGCTCTTCTTCGTGAACCTCGTGGACACCCTCTACACCGAGTCCTTCTTGGCGATGGTCATCGTCTTCTTCCTCATGGCGGCGATTCTGGTCTACGTGTTCGGCATTACATGGACAGTGGAGGTCCGTTGTGGCCGAGGTCGAAGCTTCACATCAAGAGGGCTTGGGCCTGGCTACGAAACCCAGACCGAGGCAACAGAGATCGAGAGTGAGCCGACAGAGACCGTGACCGAGCAGGCAGCAACTAAGCCACTACAGAGCCCCAGTTCGAGTGACTTGCCGCATGGGGGACAACTTCGTGCAGTCCCTGACCAGCTACCTGGACGTGACAGCGGAGAGCAAGGTGACCGAGCAAGGCCTACTACGACGCGTGTGGTGGAGACGCCCGTGCCGCTGTCCTTCCGCTACGGCCATGTGAGCCCGAACAAGTTGGTGTACATAGCTCCAGCCTGGGGCTATTCGTACCACACGAGGTGGTGCCAGAGCAGCAGAAACTCCTCAAAGCAGCGAATCGAGATCACCGTGTGCCAGGCTATCCAGAGAGGCCTGTTTCCATGCCAGCAGTGCAGCGGTGATGACTTCATGGAGCTCAAGGAGGTGAACCCCGACTATTTCGATAAGCTGCCCAAGAAGAAGCGTCGTTGAGGTGAGCTTGGAGCTTCCCGGTTTGGACCTCCCAAACCGGGAGTTTGAGGAAAGTGCTATGCCCGATGTTTTTTTTTGTACAGAGGGAAATAAGCAAGTTTTCAGCCTGTGGGTCAAAGATCCAAAGTCTGAGGGGGCATGTTAGACCACAACAAACAGGGTCTATTGTATGTATTTTCAGTGTCATGGTGAATGGCTGTGCAGCAAGCAAAGCTGCATGGCGGTGTGCATGGCCACTGCAGCAAAGATGACACACACAACTCGCAGCCCTTTGCGAAGCAAGAAAAGGAGCGAATTTACACTGCTGCTCTTTGCTGGGGCTGACAGGCTTTAAGGGAGAGGGTTCTGCTGCTCTTTGCTGGGGCTGACAGGCTTTAAGGGAGAGGGTTCTGCTGCTCTTTGCTGGGGCTGAGAGGCTTTAAGGGAGAGGGTTCTGCTGCTCTGTGCTGGGGCTGACAGGCTTTAAGGGAAAGTATTCTGCTGCTCTTTGCTGGGGCTGACAGGCTTTAAGGAAGAGGGTTCTGCTGCTCTTTGCTGGGGCTGACAGGCTTTAAGGGAGAGCTATAAACCCTAAACCCTATAATCCCTAAAGCCCTGAACCCTACACCCTAAACCCTCAACCCTAAAGCCGTATAGCCCTAAACCCAAAACCCTAAGCTATAATCCTATAAGCCCTCAACCCTAAACCCTAAACATGCATGTATATGCCCTAAACCCCTAAACCCTATAAGCCCTAAACCCTGCACCCTAAACCCTAAACCCTATAGCCTAAGCCCGGTAAGCCCTGCAAGCCCTATAAGCCCTATAAGCCCTATAAGCCCTAAACCCTAAATCCTAAACCCGAAACCCTAAACCCTATAAACCCTAAACCCTATACCCTTAAACATGCATGCATGCATGCATGGCTGTATATATAATAAACGGGTGGATTAAAATTTATAAGGCATCGATAGAATTCACATATTTATAGGTTGCAGTGTCGACACAGATCGACGCATGCATGGTGTGCCTCTGCGAGAGCTCCAAGAGCTAGGTTGTTCTGGGCGTTCTTGGGATGCGCAGCCTTCACAGGCCCCTTGCCACCACCTGCAAAGGGTGAATACATGTATATAGGGGAGGGATCGAGGCGAAGGGAGAGAAAGCAGCAACCCCAGATTTCCCCGAGCCTTTCATCATGTCGAAGATCAATTTCAGATCCTCTTTGCTTTTTCCTTTCCCCATGTTGGCAAGGGCACGCGATCTATCTCGATCTATCGATCATGCATGGTTTTACACGCGAATTCTGTATCAACCGATCGATGCCCCCGAATCACTGCATGTATACAGCATGCATGCGTGCCTCATGTGTGCGAGCCACACTCTTTTCGGTCACAAGTGCATGGTCACAGTCCTCATGCATACAACTATGCACGATACCGATGCATAAGATGCTTGCACGCAGTGCAGATCGTGTCTGCTTTTGGCCGCTCGCAAAAGCAAGCGCGACGCTGCAGATCCTCGATCCATCGATCGATATATAACCTCGATCATGCAGGCGCAAAATGTTCACTCACGCCCAAAATAGAGGCTGGGTTCAGGCAAAATAGGGTTTAGAAAGTTAGAGGGGTGCACAGCTTGTGACCCTAAACCCTAAACCCCAAACCCTAAACCCCAAACCCTAAACCCGAAACCCTAAACCCTCAAGCCTCAAGCCTATAAAGCCTAAAGCCTAAAGCCTGTAAATCTCACCAATGGGCCTTATTTTTTTGTTCTTTCCGGCCTCTAGGCCTTTTCACGCTTTGTCACGGTGGACAGTGCCTTAAGTCTGACCTATAAGGTCGTTGTCACGCTTTGTCACGCTTTTTCACGCTCCACATCTCGGCCCTGCAAAGCTCGGTTTCTGGTGTTCGGGCATGCATGCTTGCAGCTTCTGGTTTTTCACGTGACGGAGCTGTTTTTTCACGTGAAGAAGCGTGAAAAAACATTAATGCACCGTGAAAAAGCATGAAAAAACGTGAAAAAGCGTGAAGATGCGTGTAAATGCACGTGAAAAACCGTGACAAAGCGTGAAAAAGCGTGATACGTCATGAGCACCACCGTGTAGTGATTGCACGCATGCGTGCAAGTAAAGAGGAAGGAGACAGGGAAAGGGAAGGGAGATCAGAGTGGAAGAGAAGGGAATAGGGGGAGAGGCAAGGGAATGGAATGGAAGGGAGGGGCTTATAAGGGCAAGACAATAAGTAAGAGCAAGGGGGCAAGGGAAGGAAATGGAAGAGAAGGGAGGGGAAAAGGCATGGAAATTGGAAGCGGAGGAGGAGGATGGGGCTTGGGGGGGGGGGGGTTGAGGGGGGTGGGGGGGGGGGTTGGGGGTGGGGCACGCGTGCGCTTGCATCCCGGGCCCCCACGTTGAAGACGTCGAGGCGCACCATGACGCCTGTAAGGGATATATATTTGTAAAAATAAAATAAATAAAAATATATATATACATATATATATATATATCTATCAATATATATTCAGGGTTTTAACGGTAAAAAGGGTTGAGGGTTAACAGAAAGGAAACACATAATACATCACACATGCATACATACATATATATATATATATGGCATATATAGTTGAGGGGTTAAGGGTATAGGGTTAGGGTTGAGGGTTACAGGGTTTGGGGTTTATCGGGTTTATCGGGTTTATAGAGTTTATATTTGGGGTTTATAGGGTTTAGGGTTTATAGGGTTTATGTAGGGTTTGGGGTTTGGGGTTTATAGGGTTTATCGGGTTTGGGGTTTATAAGGTTTAGGGTTTCTAGGGTTTATATATAGGGTTTAGGGTTTGGGGTTTATAGGGTTTAGGGTTTATAAGAATTATAATTAAAGGGTTTCGAGGGCTTTGGGTATTAACTAATACCATGCATGCCTGGACGCGCCTTCATCCAGATCTTTTCGTAGAACTGGAACCTCGGCACAGAGGCGCATTTGTGAATGTCCGATTCGGGATCGCACGCATGCAGTTGACACGGTGCAGGCATGCATGCACGCTCTTATGCGCAGCTTTTCTCACTTTCTGGGGGCGGGCGGCGGTGGTGGAACCGGTTCCCAGCTAACCCAGGGGCCGGGTGCTGGTGGAGGCGGCACCAGCACCCGCCGCCCGGTCGAGCTCACGAATGGTCGCGCAGGTCTCGGCTTGGACCGCACGGGGGCCTGGCAATTAATTATTATATAGCCGGGTTGATAGGGTTCATGCATGCTTGCGTGCGTGCATATATTTGTAAACCTATTCGGATCGTGCCTCGCTCTGTCGGGAGCTGGATGCCTTCTCCTGGCAGTATACATATAGATATACATATATCGAAAAATGACGGATTGTAATAGTGCATGCGTGCAAAACCTCCCAGGGCGGATCGTGCCTTGCTCTGTCCGGAGCTGGAGTCTTTCTCCTGGCAGAGCATATAAACCAACATGTTAAAAAAACACATTAACTACCCTGAACCCTAAACCATTCAAAACTCTTATGAACCCTATAAACAACCCTAAACCCTAGACCCTAATCTATAGGGTTTAGGGTTTATAGGGTTTAGGGTTTAGGGTTTAGGGTTTAGGGTTTAGGGTTTAGGGTTTAGGTATAGGGTTTAGGGTTTAGGGTTTAGGGTTTAGGGTTTATATAGGTTTAGGGTTTAGGGTTTAGGGTTTAGGGTTTGGTTTAGGGTTTAGGGTTTAGGGTTTAGGGTGTGTGTATAAAGGCATTCATGCGTGGAGCGTCCTGCCAGCCAGGAGGTGGGCCTGGCGGTGGCGCTGGCCGCTTCTTAGGAGGCGGCACCGCCTGAGCAGCATGCATGATCCCAATTGGGCACGTTTAACACGCATGCGTGATAAGCCAGGTGCTCTCGGTCGGCGATTGGAAGAGATCGCCTTGAGGCTCGATGCATGCGTGCATGCATGCATGTCTCCGTCCCTCGATCATGCAAATAGAACTTAAGAGCATGCAGATCGAGGTCGAGGCAGCAGCATCACCAGGATAACCGCGGTACTGCCGATGGCATGCATGGCATGCGTGCGATATATATCAAAACCTGTATACCCTATAAATCCTAACCTATAATACATTATAATATACATGGGTTTAGGATTTATAGGGTATACAGGTTGATAGGGAGTAGTTAAGCGCCTTGTCCGGAATGATCACCTGCCAGCCGCACTCAGCGCAACGGCCACCGGGCGTCACGCGGACCATGGTGCCGCAGACGTACCGACCTCACATGGCTGCATTGCGTAAAATTGCAGGGCCTAGGTAGGGTTTAAAAGGATTGGGGTTTAAAGGGTTTGTGGGGTTTATAGGGGTATATATATATATATCTTCTACATTAGAATATTAAGGGTTTAGGGTGTTGGGTTCAGGGTCTGGGCATCAACATGCAGGGTTGACGGTTTCGGAATTGGGCCGGGTGTATACTATATATAATGCATAAAATTGGAAAAAAGTATACATATATACACCGAAAACCCTAAACCCTAAACCCTAAACCCTAAACCCTAAACCCTCAACCCTATATATATATACATAAAAATATATACATATATATATATATATATACCTACATATTTACATATATATATATATATATATGTATATATACATATTTACATATATATATCTATACATATATATATATATATGTAAATGTGTGTATATATATAGAGATAAATTGCCATTTATTCTTTCAAAACTATTTGGGCTTCTAAGGGGAGCAGCGATCATGTAGTTGGAATCCAAGAGGCAGTGCACCAGGTCTTCTGAGCTATCGTCATCCTGGTCATCCTCCTGTGGCTTTTGTGCCTGGCAAGGCCACGTTGGTTACTTGTATACACTATACAGTGCCATGACACATACGAGACATCGTGCGCGCAAGCCTGATACTTGCATGTGGCTGCCAGCACCTTGAACTTCTGATTTGGCCGCCGCGAAGTCTCCACCTGCACAGGACATGTGTGATTATATGCACAGAGAAGCCACGCATGAATGCAGAA